TGTGTGTGTGTGCGCGCGCACGTGCATGTGTGTGCTGGGGAGGCTGTTCTGTGGTTAGGTACCCCGGGTTCAACCCCCAGTACCAAAGGGAGAAAGTGAGCTGTGGGTGAGATTTCCTTGGAGAACACCATCTGCAGTGCAGATGGACATACAGCCCCACTTCCCTGAACTGGATGTTATCCCCCAACTTTCTTCTTTAGGCTTTAAAAAGAAAAATGCTGATGAGCATAGTCTGGTGACCACACAAAGCAGGGAACTAATGTCACGGTATCCTGAGGGCCTCCTCAGCACCTTGTCAGCCCTTCACTGTTAAGACTTCTCCTGTTGCCACGGGAATGGCAGCATCTCCATCACCAGTTGTTAGCACTCCTTAATCTGCTTACTTTGAAACACGTGATTTCCACCAGCTCCTTTTCTCTTGGCATCTCACTGTGGAGAGCTGTCTCTGCAGTTCTAGGCTGGGCTCCTTACTGCTTACTGTGGGACACACTCCCCAAGTCCTACTTTTACCCCAACCCCATACACAAAAGCACAGGGCCTGGTGGAGATGGGGCAAGGCGCCAGGGCTGGGCTTGACTTTCACAAGGGAAATTCCTAAAATTACATGGTGGATTTTACCTAGAACCTGAGCAGGCTGTGTGTGTCCTGGGCCCTGGGTGCCCACCTCTGTACTGATCGGTTTGGTATGGTACAACTGCGTGGTAAAGTAAAGGAGATGAGCAGGACAGACTCCAGAAGGCACGGCAGACCCAGGAAGGGTAAAAGCCAGCGCTGCTGTAAGAGCCCCTCTAAAATGACAACTATGGGGCAGAGAAACTGCTCCCTGCTGCTATGAAGACAGGGTGCCCTCATGGTCACATGTTTCCAAATAGCAACTCAAGCAGTTTTTCCAACTGATGGAATCCTCAGAATTTCTACAGCAAAAAACCATGAGCATTTTCATATTTGCCATAAGGACCATACTTATGCTCTTGGCCAGGTAGCACTGGTGACAAGTCACACAGGGTCTTGGAATGAGAAGCCTCTGCCCTAGAGTTTCCAAGCATTTCAGTGACACACTAGTTCAGGATACCCTGCTGCCCTGGGAGAATGAGCTCACGATGTGCAAAGTTTGTAGGGTGGTGAGGTTTTCAGACACAAGCCAGCAGGCCAGTTGTTGGCTAAGACTACTGGCCAGGAACTGGCCTGGGACTCACATGCAAGGATACAGGGGTTACTGTCATCGATGTTGCAGCTGTCCAGGATCAGCGGGATGCCATCCAGCTCATTCACCTAGAGAAAGAGGACAGACAGTTTAGTCTGGGCCAGAGAGGATGGACGCCCTTTCTCGCCTCCTGATTTCTTCACCCAGTGTTACAACATGCTGGCACAATTACATTAACCACCCCCCCATCAGTCCAGAAACATTTAAAAAGACATCAACAAAACTGATACTTTATTTTCTTTTTACTCTTTCAGTTGTTGGGGCAACTGAATAGGCAAATAAAAAATGATAAATAAAAAATGATAAAAGAAGATCTCTTCCTAACACTGTTCACAGGGTCAACTCCAAATGAACGTGAGCTGCAAATTTAAACAGTGAAAAAATACTAATACTAGAAGAAAACATGAGTGAATGCCTTCTCTACACAGGAAGCAGGAAAAGTTCCCAATTATGATTCAAAAATCCAGAAACAAAAGGGAAAAGGTTTTATAATTTGACTACATTTTAGAAAAAGAGGAAAATGAAAATTGGGGAAATTATTTGTAAGACATCACAGACTAAGATATTTGCAAAAGATTAACATTTTAATATATACAGAACTTAAAAAGTTGAAATGGAGCTTGTTGTGGCTCAGGGTTAGAGCACCTGCCTCACATGTGTGAAGCCCTGGCCTTGAATCCCAGGGGAGGGGAATGAACAAATTAATAAGTTAATCTGAGAAATAATAAAACATTAAATAAAAAAAAATACCAGTTACCCACAGGGAGAGGAGGATGGAGTTGGAAGAAACAGGAATGAGACCCTGCCCACCAGCAGACCTGTTTTTACAGTTCTATAACTTTGGAATGAATCTATGTATGTTTTATATAATTTTCTGAAATTCCAAACTGAAACAAATTAATCTAAAAAGACATACGAGGGCTGGGGATGTGGCTCAAGAGGTAGCACGCTCGCCTGGCATGCGTGCGGCCCAGGTTTGATCCTTAGCACCACATACAAAGATGCTGTGTCCACCGAAAACTAAAAAATAAATATTAAAAAAAAATTCTCTCTCTTTAAAAAAAAGAAAGAAAGAAAGAAAGAAAGAAAG